TCCCGGGGCTGCTGGCCCTCAGCCGCCCCTGACAGTCAGCTCCTCCGGGTCAACCAGCTGCTGTCGCTGCCTTGGCCCTGGACAGAGCGGGGCCACGCCCCTGGGCCCGGCTTAGCGTTCTTCTGCCTGAGGACCCAACCACCTCTAGTCCCTAATTTCGCCTCATGCAGATTTGGGGACCTAAGGACCGTGGCGAGGTGGGAGGGGCCGAGGGCGTCCCCTGGAACTTGTGCAGATTAAACAACTGTGAAGTTTTCACTTCTGGTGTGTGTCTGAGCATGCAGCCCCACGGGGGCACGGAGCCCTTGCCGACTGGAAGAGAAGAAGCGCGGGGCACCGGCCGGGCCCTCTGCCGGGCGCATCCCTCCGGGGCCAAGCCCGAACCGCCCTCACCTTTCCTCCGCCTCTCGCCCGGATCCTCGGCCCCGCCCCCTGCGTCGCCGGCGCGCGTGCGTGCTATCCGAAAGCCAGGGGCGGGGCTTGCGGCTCCCCAGCGCGCGGGGGTTGACGGGAGCCACGTCTCTGCTGGCCCTGGGCTGGGAGGCGATTGGCGTCCGGGGGCTGCTGGGAAGATGGCGGACTCGGTGGCCGGCGGATGAGGAGGCCGCGGGGGGAGCCCGGCCTCCGGGCCCCGAGACCCACTGAGGGAGCGATCTGCGCGGGGCCTGGGGAGTCATGTAGGGGGCGGGCATCTGCGGAGCGGGCCGCGGGAGGGTGGTGGGAGTTGGTGTTGGCGACTGTGACCACGGTCTCCCAGCGTCCCCGGGCTGGGTGGGTGTGGGGGCCTCTGATATCGCCGACTCCGCGCTGCCGCTTTCCCCCTGCGCCCTCGGCTTCCACGGGCGCCTTCCGAGGTGGGCGCTGCGTTCTTGTTTCACAGGCGAGGAGGCTTAGGCAGAGAGACGAAGCCACTGGTCCAAGGTCACGCAGCTGGTAAGTGGGAGCACCCAGCATGGAACCCAGGACCGTCCGGCTGCGGAGCCCCCGTGCCGCCCCCCCCCCCCGTGCCGCCGCCGCCTCCTCCTGCGGGAGCGGGAGGTGGTCAGGGGTGGGGAGCGTGTCGCCGGGCCGAGCTGGGCTCCAGGCTGGGCGCGACCACTAACCAGATTCGTGACCTCGGGCTTAAGTTTACCCCTTCATCTCTCTGGGTTTTGGTTTTTACACCTGTGAAGTCGAGGTAATGCCAAGCCTTGCCTACGTCCTCATAGGCGTGTAAGGAAGATCAGAGGAGATAATGCATGTGGAATTGCTTTGTAAATATTCCTGCGCTGAGACCACTGAAGGATTGATCGGGGTGTCAAAGTGTGGAAGGAGGCAGAGAAGGGGGCTGGTGGGGAAGAGGACCAGAGCAGAGCAGTCCCAAAGAAGGGTGAACGTGACTCTGGCTTGCTCTGATCCCAGGCCCCTCTGGATGGGGAGTTGAGGTGAGGAGTAGAGAGCAAGCTTTTCTCCCCTTTGGAGAAAACCTCACCCCCTTTTCTGGGCCGCCCCTCAGGGTCTCCATCACCCAACTCCATGCTTCGAGTCCTGCTCTCTGCCCAGGCCTCTGCTGCGAGGCTGTCTGGCCTGCTGCTGCTCCCACCTGTGCAGCCCTTCTGTCTGGGGCCCAGCAAGTGGGGGGACCGGCTTCCGGGAGGAGCCCCCCCTGCAGCTCCCGTGCAGGGGCTGCAGCGGCTTCTGGAACAGGCGAGGAGCCCTGGGGAGCTGCTGCGCTGGCTGGGCCAGAACCCTAACAAGGTGCGCGCCCACCACTACCCCGTGGCACTACGTCGTCTGGGCCAGCTCCTGGGGCCTCGGCCACAGCCCCCTTCTGTGGAGCAGGCCACGCTGCAGGACTTGAGTCAGCTCATCATCCGAAACTGCCCCTCCTTTGACGTTCACACCATCCACGCATGTCTGCACCTTGCAGTCTTACTTGGTGAGGAGGGTGCCTGGGGGATGGGTGTTAACAGAATAGAGAAGAGCAGTGGAGGACCCAAGATCACTGATAGAATTCACCTCTCAGGCCTTGCCACGCATGGCCATACCCCGAGACACTGCTGCTCCCCCACATCCACCCCCAACATCAGGAGTCAAGCAGCATTTGTTGCCGCTGAGCTAGGGTGCTACCCCAGGTTGCTGCTACCTCAGTGCAATGGGAGCCACTACAATTTGTCACCATTTGCACGAGATGAGAACGTATTTGCCATTTTTTTTAAGATCTTCCCCACAGGCTGTTCTGATCCCCCAGTTGACATGGTACTTCACACTACACTACAGCAAACCTTCCAACCCAGAAGACAAATGAGAAAGGTTGGGGACCCACTAACAGCCCCAACACTGGAGCAGAGCAGAGCAGCTCCCTGTTACCAGAACTGCCTCCTCTGGCCTTCTCTCTCCCAGGCTTCCCATCAGACGGGCCCCTGGTGTGTGCCCTGGAGCGGGAGCGAAGGTTCCGCCTCCCTCCGAAGCCGCCTCCCCCTCTACAACCTGTTCTTCGAGGTGGGCAAAGGTTGGAAGCTGCTCTGAGCTGCCCCCACTTCCTGCAGCATCCACAGCAGCACCTCATCCGGAGCCTGACAGGTGCTGGAGGGGGTTAAAGGCAGCTTGGAGGTCAGGGGTTGTTGAGGCAGGTGGTGGGGAATGGCTAAGGTGTGTACCATGGAGATCGGGCCCGAGGGTCCAGTGTGATAGGCTGTCCTTCACAGAGGCCAGGCCAGAGGAACTGACACCCCACGTGATGGTGCTCCTGGCCCAGCACCTGGCACGACACCGATTGCGGGAGCCTCGGCTTTTGGAAGCCATTGCCCACTTCCTGGTGGTCCAGGAAGGCCAGCTCAACAGCAAGGTGGGATTGCCTCCCACGTTTCTCAGCCACCCATCAGGCCCAGCCCCTGTCCTGCTTGATTGCCGCATCCTCGAGCGAACCGCTCAGCCGGGCCTTGTGCCCTGGCTTTTCCAGCCCCAGCACACTCATGGTCCTGTGCAGTTCCCCAAGCACTCAGCCATTAGCGTCACTGATCCCACTCCTCTTGGCCCTCAGGGCCAGGTCCCACGGCACTGCCTCCACTTGTTTGGTGATTGATTGCATGGGGCTCAGGACACTGCTTATGCCATGGCGTCCTGGTGTGTGTCAGGTAGAGGGATGGTTCTGCCTCTGTGATGACGTTCTAAGCCTTCAGGCCAAGGGTTCTGGAGCACTGTTTCGTGCCAGGTGATGGCTGCTCTCCCTCCACAGGCAGTACAGAAGTTGGTCCTGCCCTTTGGGCGGCTGAACTACTTCCCCCTGGAACAACAGTTTATGCCCTGCCTTGAAAGGATCCTGGCTCGGGAAGCAGGGGTGGCCCCCCTAGCCACTGTCAACATCCTGATGTCACTGTGCCAGCTGCAGTACCTGCCCTTCCGAGCCCTGCACTTTGTCTTTTCCCCAGGTTTCATCAACCACATCAGTGGTGCGCAGATGGGAAGGCTGGCTGGGTCCCTGAGGGCTGGCAGGCAGGGGAGAGCGGGGTGGGGCTCTGCAGCCCCGTGAGTCAGTCCCCTTGCCCACAGGCACCCCTCATGCCCTGATTGTGCGGCGCTACCTCTCCCTGCTGGACACAGCCGTGGAGTTGGAGCTCCCAGGATACCGGGGTCCCCGCCTTCCCCGGAGGCTGCAAGTGCCCATCTTCCCCCAGCCACTCATCACTGACCGTGCCCGCTGCAAGTACAGGTGGATGGGGCATCTTGGGGAGGGAGGGGAGCAGCCTGGAAGAAGAGTAGAAAAGCTAAAGAACCTGGACCTGTTTAAGCTTGATGCACTGTCAGGAGTCAAAGAAATGGGCCTTGAGCTCTGGCTGGTGTGGCTCAGTGGATTGAGTGCAGCCTGTGAACCAAAGGGTCACCAGTGTGATTCCCAGTAAGGGCACTTGCCTGGGCTGTGGCCCAGGTCCCCAGCAGGAGGCACATGAGAGGCAACCACACATTGATGTTTGTTTCTCCATTGCCCTGTCTCTGAAAATAAGTAAATCTTAAAAAAAAAACACCACCACACAGGCAGTGAAGGCATTTGCCAAGGGTCACGCAGCTGGGAGGAGACTCCTGGGCCTTCCCTCCAGCAGTGTTCCTCTCCCCTTCCAGTCACAAGGATATAGTGGCAGAGGGGCTACGCCAGCTGCTGGGGGAAGACAAGTACCGCCAGGACCTGACCGTGCCTCCAGGCTACTGCACAGGTGAGCTCCAGGTGGGTGGGCCCGCACTGCGCTGGGTTACATGGAGCCTTGGCTAAAAGCCAGCGGCCCTCTCTCTACCCCCAACCCCTTCCAGACTTCCTGCTGTGTGTCAGCAGCTCTGGTGCTGTGCTTCCCGTGAGGACCCAAGACCCCTTCCTACCGTACCCCCCCAGGTCCCCTCCCCAGGGCCGGGCTGCCTCTCAGCCCACTACCGGAGACACTGCCCAAAGGTAAGGAAGGATGGTGGGAAGGCCTCCCTGCCTTCTCAGACAGCGACCCTGAGCCATGGTCCATTCTGTCATCCAGGGTGGTGCTGATGCTGCGTGAGCGCTGGCATTTCTGCCGGGATGGCAGGGTGCTGCTGGGCTCGAGGGCCCTGCGGGAGCGGCACCTGGGCCTGATGGGCTACCAGCTCCTGCCGGTGAGAGCCTCCCCCGCCCCTGGTGAGAGAGACTCTGTGTGTACCCCCACCCCAACCCCCAGGCTGGTGGGTGATCCGCTGCCCTGTGCTCACAGCTGTCCTTTGAGGAACTGGAGTCACAGAGAGGCCTGCCCCAGCTCAAGAGCTACCTGAGGCAGAAGCTCCAAGCCTTGGGTCTGCGTTGGGGGCCTGAAGGAGGCTGAGGGGTGCACGTGGGGTTCATGATGGCCCCCCTGTAGGGGGTGGGCGACTTGCACTTTGGCTCCACCCTGTTTTATTTTTCATTAAAGTCCCTTTCTTCCCCATCACACATCTCGTTTCTTGTTTCTGGGCTGCTCACCTCCCTCCCATCCATGCCCCACCACCTCAGAGATACAGGAGGCCAGGGCAGGTGGGAGCAGAAGCGCTTTACTGCGGGGGTAGAGGGAAGGGGCCATTAAATTATTCACTTAAATAAAAATGAGGAGGGAAGGGGATGGGAGGGCACCCCCAGCCCGTCCCCTCTGTCCGGCCAGCAGCAGCTACACAGGCATGGGCATCTCATTGTACTCATCCACGCCCTCCCTCTCGTCGAACACAGGCTCCGCCTCGTTGGCATCCAGCTGTGGGGGAGGCAGGGGTCAGGAGGGCGGGCCGACCAGGACTTGGGCAGGCACAACACAGGGCCGGGTGGGGTTGCTGAGGGGAGAGGGCGGGCAGCCTTACGCATTTCATCTCTCGCTCGGTGAAGATGCGGGTGAGCACCACCATGCGCAGCGGCACTGTGAGGATGAGGATGAAGGGGAAGGCCAGGGAGGCGGCTGTGGACATGACAGCCCACAGCAGGGCCAGGCAGAGCAGCTGCAGGGCTGTGAATAGGTGCATCCGCAGGGTCCGGACCTGAAGGCGGGTGGGGTGGGGTGAGATGGGGAGCCCAGGCTTCTCCCCAGCCACGGAGGACCGACGACGCCTTTCCCCTCCGTGGGGGTGAGGACAGAGGTGCCTTCTCCATGCTCACCACAGCCAGGTCTACACAGACTGAACTGGCCAGAGTAGGTCCAGGGGTTGGGGGTGGGGGCTGGCAGGTGACCCATGCAGCCCAGGAGGGGCAGGGGCATGGGGCCCTTCCGGGTGGCATCTCACCTTCTTGACATAGGTGACGTCCGGGTGGTGCTTGGGAGGCATGAGCAGCAGGTGCAGCCGCTCGTAGAACTGGATCCCGTTCAGGGAGGTGACTCCCATGTACAGGAAAATCCCAAAGAGCACGGCCAGGGGTATCTGCCGGAGCAGGTCCCCGATCACGATGGAGAGGCCTGGGGGGCAGGGGGAGAAGTGGTCGTCTCCAGGGCTGCCCACTCTGACACCCAGCCCGGACGAGTGGGGGGGGGGGCGAACGTACCCACAAGCAGGGCAACCAGCAGCCCTGTCACCCGCTGCTCCTTGACCTCCTGGATCTTGGGCTTGTCCCCGGGTGCCACAGCCTTGCTCATGACGGTGAGCGCATTGGCATGTGTGACAGAGCGGACAGTGGCAGCAGCCAGCCAGGGCAGGCCGAAGAGGGCACAGATGCCGCCCATGCCCACAATGAGCAGCAGGTCCAGGTGGAAGCCGGAGCCCTTCTGCAGCATGCGCTCCTTCTTGGAGATGATCAGCCTGCACGGGGACAGGGCTCACTGAGGCCTCGGGCCAGCTCGGCAGACAGCCGGGTCTTTCCTGGGCTCTCCAGGGCGCCCCGCTTGTGGCCTCTGTATTTGGAACCTGAATTTGGTCCTGACCCATTCCAACCAAAATGAGAGTTCCATGATAAAGCTCTGCCTCCCGCCCTCTAGGTCAGCTCCCAGCTTGCACTGGGCTCCTCCCCCCCAGCAAACATCACAGGGATCTCCTTCTGCCTACAAAGTAAACTCCAGCGGCCAAGTTTGGCATGCTGCACTCCAACACCTGATGCCGCCCCTGGCCGAGCTCTGACCCACCCATCTGCACAGCAACCCCCTCGGCTAGGACCACTCACGTGGTGATTTGCGTCTCCATGAAGATGAGGATGAAGACCAGGAGGGCAGGCAGCAGACTGGCCACCATCATCCACACGGGGAAGGCGCTTTTCTCGCCCAGAGGGTTGATGACCCAGCCCCGCTTGTCAGGGGCCGTCACGGAGAATCCACTGGGCACATTCAGCTTCTGCAGAGCAGAGGGCCGGACGGGTGGGACTTGGAGGGGGAGCCCCTAGCTGCCCCAGGTGGGGCGAGTGCTAAGGGTGTGCTGGGGAAAAGGCCCTCGCCCGCTCCAAAGAGGCGGCTCTGGAGCCTCTGTGGCAGAGGACCATCTGGAGTCTGATGCCAGGCAGCGCGCTCTTGCTGCTGCGTGTAATTGGCCTTACCTGGGTATAGGTGTCCTCGATACTGTAATCCACAAGCACCATGACGAGGATCGCGATAGGCACCCCGAAGTCCCCAATCACCCGCCGAACCTATGGGCAAGCAGCATGCTCAGACCGGAGGCCCCTGCCCTGCTCCAGACCCGACTGTTCATCATCCGCAGCTTCCGCCTCCCTGAGGCCTTCACCCCACACACCCGGCCAGGGAAGAATCGGCTGTTCTTGAATTTGCGCAGGAAGAAGGCAATGAAGAAGGTGCCGGCCATGAGCACCAGGGAGAGCAGGGCCGTATTGGGCTGGCCCCGGGGCCTTCCCTGCACAGGGGGCTCGGCCACACTCATGTTCCCCGGCCCTGGCGTGGCCCTCGCCCCAGCCCACGTGGTATTCTCGCCACCATCTGCCTCATCACGGGCTGGCTCAGAGTTGTTGGCGACAGAACAGCCATGGAGGGGATGTTCCTGGAAAATCTGAGGAGAGGACAGAGTGTTCCATCAGCAAGACAGGTGTGACTTCCAGGCTCAGGGGACTCTGAACGGGACAGGTGGGGCGGGGGTGGCCACAAAGAGCTTCTCTTGTGGATTAAGAAAATGACCCAGCCTTGACTGGTGTGGCTCAGTGGACTGAGTGCGGGCCTGTGAACCGAAAGGTCACAGGTTCCATTCCCAGTCAGGGCACATGCCTGGGTTGGGGGCATGCAAGAGGCAACCAATCGATATTTCTTACACGTCAGTGTCTCTTTGCCTCCTGGCTCCCTCCTTTCCCTCCCTCTCTAAACAAATAAAATCTTAAAAAAAAAAAAAAAAAGAAAGAAAGAAAGAAAAGGACCCAGAGGACCAGGTGTGAGCGCAGGGCAACTGAGGATGAGCAGGGAGGCTGGTCTTCCCGAGGAAGGGGGTGGGGAGCCGGGCCTGGAGCGTGGGGCACATGTGCCAGCTGTGGCTGCGCCTGCCCCTCGCAAGTCTTCTCCTTTCTACATCTCTGGGTCATTTGCCACTTTAACAAAAGTGTATTACCCTTGCTATTAAAAGTATGTTTTCAAGCCCCGGTTGACCTGGCAGGGTTAGGGGGTGGGGAGGCAGGAGGAAGAACCTGCCCGCTCTCTGTAGGATACATGGTCTATAAGGGGAGTGGAGGGGGCGGCGGGCATCTCAGGGCCAGCCTGGCTTCCTACCCAGGGGAGAGAGCAAGAGAGGGGCACACTGCCCCCGGCCCACAGCCTCACCCCCTCCCAGCCCAGTGCTCTGAGTGACCTGCTCACCTTAACCAACTTGTAGAAGGTCTCGTAGATGAAGATGAGAGAGATGAGGAAGGCAAAGATCTCCTGGGTGAAACGGGAAACGAAACGCACCAGGAAGCTCCCCTCCAGGGCCACCATGAGCAGGGCCAGAAGCACCAGCCAGAAGCCGATCCACACCCGGCCCACCAGGTACTCCAGCCCGTTGTGCTGGCAGAACTGAGGGGCGGGGGTGGAGAAAGGTCCAGTCAGGCCCAGAGAGCTCGGGCTGACTGGGTGGGGTTGCTCCAAGGAGAGGAGGGGCACCCCAGGGGGCCTGTGGACCCTCACCGAGAAGAAGGCCTCCTCGAACACCAGCAGGGGCCCCGAGAAGCCGATCACCAGCAGCGGCTGGGCGCCCAGCAGGCAAAAGAGCATGCCCTGGAGCGCCGTGGACACGATCAGCTCCGACACCCCGATGAGGTTCTCCGTCTTCTCTCCTGGGGCGGCAGCGGCTCAGGGGCTGGCAGCCGGGCCTCGTGGGCTCCCCGCCCTCCCCTACCCTGGAGCCTCTCCTTACCCAGCAGCCCCCCGAAAGTGATGGCCGGCGACAGGGCTGCGAAGTAGATGAAGATGACCGCGGCCAGGCACTGGGGGTTGAGCGCATCCCGGAAGTCACTCAGGTAGTGGGGGTAGCGGCGCCGCACGTCGCGGATCAGCCCCCCGAAGGGCCGGCCGGTCCGCCGGAGGGGATCGTCTTCCACTGCCCCCGTTGCCTCTACCATCTGCAGGAGCGCTGCAACCCAGGCCTCCGTCAGGGCGCCCGCCACGGCGCCCCGCCCACCCTGCTCTCCCAGGAACAGTTACAGACCGCCCGACTCCTGCCCCAGGCAGCCCCGCCTGCACTGGCCCGTACCCTTGTCTTGGGCCGACTTGGGCTCTAGCCCTGCCCCTGGGGGCAGCAGCCGGCCCTGCTCCTCCCGCTTCTTGAGCATCTGGCGCTGGAAGTGCGCGACGGACCGCAGCAGCTCCTCGCCCTGCACCTCGGAGGGTGGCAGCACCACGCTGCAGTCCAGGAAGGCGTTGATGGCGGTCAGCAGGTCCTCCCTCTCGTCCGCCAGGTAGGCTGCCTCGTGGAATTGCTGCCGGAGCAGAAGCGGGGCCGGTGAGGACACAGGCCAAGGGGCCTGGGGCCTGGGGCCGGGCTGGGCTCCGCACCGGGGCTGACCTTGTCGGACATGAGGGTGGAGATCGAGCGGCCGATCTCGTGGTAGTCCATGTTGGCGCTGCTCGGGCCCAGCAGCAGGAAGAGGAAGCGCACGGGCACGGGCACCTCCAGCACCGCGTCCAGCTCCACCGCCTCCCGCAGCCGCACGAAAGCCATGGTGGGCCGGGAGAGGAACTCCACGCAGCCTGGGGGCGCGTGGCCGTTGTGGGCGAGAACAGGGCACCAGCCGCCACCCATCCCCCAGCCCGGGGGCAGCACCGGCCACCGGGACCCCCGCCCCCAAGACGTGCCCCGCCCCCCCACGTACCCACAAGGACCACGGTAGCCTCTGCGTTCTCCGGGATCTTCTCCAGCAGCTTCAGCTCGTGCTTGGACTTGGAGCGAGTGATGCCTGCCGGCGGGGCTGGGGGCGGCAGCTCGCGCTGCGGGTGGGAGAGGGTGGAGCTCAGCCCGGCCACTCACAGCCACGCCGCAGCCACGCCGCCGCGCCAGCCCCGACCCAGTCCAGGCTGCCTTCTCCGCTCACCTCTCGCTCCACATCCAGCCTGGTCTCCGGAACTCCGCCGATGAGAGGCTCGGTGACGTGGGGGTCGCTCTCCGCCCCCTGGCCGTGGTGATGCCCCAGCAGGGAGCCCAGGGAGCCGGCGGAGATATTCCGGGGGAAGGAGAATTCCTTCTCATCACTCGGGTGGCTGGTGGGGCAGAGGGCGGCGTGTAAGAAGGGTGATGACAGGGACTAGGGACAGGCGGTCCAGGAGCTGCGGGCGGCGCCTCACCTGTGTTTCAGCAGTAGGGCCCGCAGCACATTGGCTCTGTCCTCGGCCTTGATCTGGTCGGAGATGACCATCTGCTCCACCACCTGGTGGGCCACGCCGGGCAGTGTCTGCTGGTCCAGGTCCAAGAGCACCGCCCCTGGAAGGAGGAGGACTTAGGGGGACCCTCATCCCCAGGCCAGAAAGTGCAGGGCCAGACAAGAGCTGCAGATGAGGGCGCAGCCGGGCGAGGCCAGTACAGGGGGCAGCAAGCAGGGCCTGAGACCCGAGTCCCATTGCCTCTAGGTCCTCTTCCTCCCCACCCCCTCCCTGCAGGAATATTGCGGGGCTCATCAGAGGCTGCAGAACTGGCCATTAGAGGCCCCAGTGGGCGCTGGGGCCGGGAAGTGGCCGGACACACCCTGCAGGAAGCAGGCAGCCTCCGCTGGGGGCCCCGGCCGCACACTCGGGCAGAGCCGCTCTCCGTTGTTAGAAAGTCCCTCTCAGCGAGTGGCATGGTGCCTCCCAACATCTGCCCCGGGGTTTGAGCTCCGCCTCTGCAGCAGGACGGTGCTGGGGGGGCCCTCGTCCATCCGCAAACCTCCCCCTCAACCCGGCTCCGCTTCCCTACATACAGCAGGGGCGCTTTCTTTTTGTTTGTCTTCAATTAATTCATTTATTTTTAGAGACAGGGGAAAGGAAGGAAAAATAAAAGAGGGAGAGAAACATCCACGTGAGAGATACATTGATCAATTGCCTTTTGCACACCCCCAACAGCCCACAACCCAGGCCTGTGGCCCGACTGGGAATCCAACTGGCAACCTTTTGGTTCGCAGGCCAGCACTCAATCCACTGAGCCACAGCAGCCAGGGCTAAACACTTTACTTATTTTTAGGAAGAGGGGAAGGGAAGGAGAAAGAGAGTGAGAGAAATATCAATGCAGAAGAGAAACACTGATTGGTCAACTTCTGTACCCCAACCTGGGACCGAACCCACAACCCAGGCATGTGCTCTGAACCAGTCATCGAACCTGCGACCCCTCAGCTTGCGGGGCGATGCCCCACTAAGCAAGCCACACTGGCTGGAGCTCACAAGACACTCTCCAGACCTCTCCCCACAAGTGACTGTTCGGGAAATAAAAGTTCTTTCAAGAGTCATCAGGTCATTTTTCTGTCAAGGGCAACTTTCAAAACACAGAACTAAGAACAAACAGAACCAAAAACCCCCAAGTGACGAAAACAGAGCTGGCAAAGCCTGGCGCTGAAGCGCCCGCCCTTTGGCGCCTCACCCAAAGCCCTCGAGCCTCACTCACGGCCCATTTACTCCGAGTTCGGAAACGATTCTGCCAGCAGGTGCCTCCGTCCTCGGCAGCTCGGAAACAGGCCTCCTGACAACCGCTGGGCGTGACGCCCCCCCCCTCCTCCGGCAGGAAGGAGGAAACACGCAACGACCGAGCAGAAACATCACACACAGAGCTCGAGGGGCCTGCACCTGCGGACACTCGGGGAGGTCCACCCAGTCCTGCAGGTGGGACCAGTTCAGGGAGCTTCCCAGCAAAACTGTCTAAAACCACGTCAGTCCCCAAATGCGCCAGCTTCGGTTCTTTAAAAATGTCCCTTAGACAAAGCAGCGTCGTTTCCTGCCACCACCCAGGGAGAGAGGTGATCCCAAGGATCACGAGAAGAGGCTTCCCACAGGCTCCAGTGACCTTGATCCCAGTGTTGCCCAAGACACACGTGGGGGCTATTTTGCCCTCAGAGAAGTGGCTCAAGAGAAGGCTGTGTCCTGGGGCCAGAATGGGGGGGTCGGGGAGAGAAGAGGTTACCGTGGGCCAGGGTCCGGCGGAGCTCCAGGAGGCTGCGGAAAGACAGGGAGGCCACGTGGGGCTTCCCCCAACGCTCGGTCTCCTCCTCCACGTCCTCTTCAAATTTGATCCAGCGCGCTGTCTCTCGCCACTGAGGCTCCTGGTTTTTGTCCAGCAGGAGCTCATTCAGCTCCACAAACACCTGGGGGAGAGGTGAGAGGGCAGGACAGGGTCAGAGCCACCAGGGGTTCCCAGGGACTGCTCGAGCGGTGTCGAGGTTGGGGCATGTGCCTCTGGACAGCACGGGGCACAGGCATAGAGTCCGGGTGAGTCGTGACTAAATCGGAGACTTTCTTTTCCTCGTCTGTAAAATGGGAGCAATGCCATCCACCTCCCAGAGCCCTTGGAGGGGACTGAAAGGAGAAGCACCCAAACACAGCCCCATACAGGGCTTGCAGCGAGTCCTTGATGAGCAGTTGCTGCGCACACACACAATTGGGCAGGACTGAGAATAGAAGGGCAGGTGCCTCTGAGGGTGCCGACTGGGCTGAGGCACCTTCTGAGCAGGAAATGGCTCGTGTCTCACAGGGCCATCCGGCTGTGCCCAGAGCCGCTAAGCACTCGGCCCAAGTGCACTTCACCGTATGCCTATTAGACCTCACTAGAAGAGTTTTAAAAACCCACAGCAAGGGTCAGGGTTCAAGACCAGAGCCTTGGAGCCTAAGAGGGGCAAAATAACTAAGTCACTGAGCGACCTTGGCTGGTCACCGTCCCTGATTCACAGCTGGGCCATCATCTCCACAGGCTGTGGGAGGATCACATGAGTCAGAGGTAACCAGATTCCGGAAAATGAAGTTCATGGCTCTGCAGAGCTGCCTCTAGGGTCCACAGATACCCCACTGCCAGCTGCCAGACAATGGCCATGCCAGGCGCCGACACTGGAGAGGATGTTCGTAACCACGGGTGGTGCCCCTGGGGCTCAGGGAGGTCACCGCTGGCCCCCGTGGCAGGGGAGGCGGCCACGGGGAGAGGAAGGAAGCGTGAGAAGCTGAGGAACAAACATACCTCGTGGGGCTTGTGGGGGACCCGGGGCCGAGCCCGAGGCGTGGGGCCAGGCTCTCGTCCCTCCCGGCCACTCTGCCCAGATTTGGCATTCTTCCGCACCAGGTGCCGCCGCACCCCAGGGACATCCTCAAACCGGTGACCTGGGAGGGGGAAGGGCAGCATCAGGCTCCCCCTTTCTCCCAGCCCCGTTCCCCACCCCGGCCCCAGGCCCAGCACTCACTCTTCATGAGGTCCAGGTCCGCGGTGGCCAGCGTCTGGGCCTCGCTCTCGTCCGTGGGGACGCGGGGCAACAGGGCCTGCTCCACCCCCGTCATGCTCCCGATGCGCCTCCGCTCCTGCAGGTTGTAGCTGCGGTGCCCGGGCTGCGCTTTGCTCAGGGGGCGCCCCGAGGCGCCACCATCGTCACCTCCCGCTGCGCCACAGGCCACGGCCACTGCCTGCTCCACGGCGGCTCTGGATGGAGGGACAGAGCCGGCGTGAGCCTGGGGAGGCGGGGCCCCTCCTCAGCCAGGAGCCACGCAAGAGGACCACACGCTCTGATCACCCCACTCCAGACGCAGGTGTTTAAACCTGCCCTCCCCTCTGCGACGGTGTCCAGGAGCATCACATCAGCCAGCTCGTTCACGACAAACTTCCCGGCAGTGCAGCTGGGCTGAGGGCAGGCTGCTCCCGGGGCGGGGGGCGGGGGATGCCTGCAGCCGCCACTCTGAGCAGCACCAGTCGCCTTCTGCCCTCCCAGGACCGCAGGGTCCCCCGTTTCTGACCCAGCAGGGTGAAGGACATGGACCTGGGCTTTGAGACCGCAGACAGCCCCCTGAGGTCACGAGGAACACGTGACCCCTAACCTGCACAGGTTCCAACTCCCATTCCTGTCCTCCAACCCGGTGTCTCCTTTCTCTCTTGCCATTGCTTGTGTGTCCTGGTCCCCATCACGTCCTGCTGTCTAGCACCTCGCATTGAGTCAAGGCCATGACCACAAACCCCCCCACCAGACTTTCTCAGCCTATCCCTACCCTCAGTGCCCTTGGTTCTGCTTCGCACCCTTGCTCACAATCGGACCCACTTTTCCAAGGCCAGGCTTTCTCTGAGGCTCCCCCAGCTGCTACTGGCCATCCAGCTGCCCGCAGGCGCGTGTCCACACCCTAGACGCAGCTGGGGACCAGTGCCACTCACACAACCCACCTGTCTCCCCAGGGTGCGAGCCTGTATGCGCCCTGGAGGGGCGCCGCGCCCTTCACTTCCCCGCAGCCCTTCACACTGCCTGGCACCCACAAAACAAGTCCGTGATAGTAGTGACCTTGAGAACTCATTCAAAGTGATTTCCTCTCCGTAGCCTTCCCTGGCTAACACCCCCAAACTCTGACCGCCTGCCAGTCTGGTACCAAGCTACCTGGCTTAGTAACTTGTTCTGACGCAACAACCAGGGGGGGCTGGCAGCTCCCCAAGTGAAAGGGGGAGGTCTTCTATTTCTCTCGTGCCCAGAGGGCCCCAGGGGTGCTTGGGGGTCACTAGACCGGCCCCTGACCCAGGGCCTGATGCTTCCATCTGAAGCCTGGGGAGAGGGGATGTGGCAGGGGGACTGGGACGGGGGGCGGCTTCGATGTCACATCTGTTCCGCGCCAGGCTAAACCGTTCCCAAACCTTAACTCCCTCACCCCTTAATCCCTTCAACCGCCCTGAAGAAAGGTTGTATTATTCTTGGCTTACAGATGGGAAAGCAGGCTCAGGGAGGTTCCTCGCCCCGAGAGCTAGTGAGGAGCAGGACTGGGACCTGAAGACCCGGAGGCTCTGCTGCTTTTCCCGCCCGACACACGATACCAGCAGGGAGGATCCCCGCCTGGGGACACTCACCCAGCCTGGGCCCCTTTGGTGGCCTGGGGAGCTGCCTCCTGGTGGGGCAGCGGCGGAGGGGGGGAGGGACTGGTCCTTTCTGCCTTCCTGTCAGTAACTTCATCCTCCTGAAGAAAGAACTGGAAAAGGGACCCACGTAGGCAGATGAGGCCAGGCCAGGACTTCCGGGGAGGGGGGGTCCCCCAGGAACCCTGTCCCCACGCACCTGCACAGAAGAGGGAGTGGAGGCAGGAGACGGCTGGGTGGCCCGGGCACCCTCAGCCTCACCGGTCTCATCCTCATCTTCCTCCCCCTCCTCAATGGTGGGGGTCTCCCCAGTGGGGGTGGCCCCAGGGCGCCTCCGAGGCTTCCGTCCGGGGCCCTGGGGAGTCTTGCGGCGGCGGGTGTCTGGAGGCAGGTGGGTGGACAGCGGGTGATGGATATGGTGGGAGGACTGGCGGTGGTCTGCAGGGAGAAGAGGACACCGTGGCTGGCAGGCACAGCCTCGCTCCGGGCCCCCGGGCCCCAGCTCCTGCCCCTTCCCTGCTGGGCAGTCCAGCCAGAAGGACCCCGCCCCCTCCTCAGGGTCTCCCCCTCACATTCAAAGTCTTCCTCCCCATAGCTTCGGCTGGGCTCCTCCCCTCCTCGAGACCCTGCCTCCTGAAGGATCTCCTCGAACCGCTCCACACCCAGGGTCCGGTGAAGTTCGTCTTCCTCCTGCTCGGGGAAGCCAGGGGCCGCGGGGCCCAAGCGCTCTGGCTCTGGCTGTGAGGAGGAAGGAGTAGAGAGAAGACACAGCGGCTCACTAGGAGCTCACCCCGAAACGCCACCCTGCCCAGTACTGGAGAGAGAGGTACCCCCAGAAGCCTGCCCGCGCAAACGCTGGGGCCTCGCCCGGCACCCAGCAGCCCATCCCCTAGGTGGGGGTGGGGAGGGATCTGGAACCTGGCTGTGCCCACCGGCCCAGCTAGGGCGGGGGAAAAGGGGGGCTCGGGAAGTCTGGACACAAACCCCGTGCGTCCAGCCCGCCTGCCCGGTGTGTGAACTGGGAAGCTCATGTGGCTGAGAGGGAACACACACTTCCGCTTGGTAGAGACCAGCCTGAAAAGTAACTTCTGGAGGCGCCCGAACTAACTGACCTGGACTGGAGTCTGAGTCACATGGAAACCAGCCCCTGGAAAGGAATGCGGTGGCCTCGCCTCCTCAGGGGAGCCCCCCACTCACCACCCCTCCGCAGCCCTGGGGTCCCCCGCGCGGCTTCCTGGCCCCACCCCCACCCCACCCCCCACCTGAGTCATGCTGCGGGAGCCGAGCAGCCCAGACTGCGGTGGTGTTTTGGAGCGCTCAGCTAACGGCCTGCTCTAGCCAGTGGCCTTGGTCCAGCCCCCCACCCACCCCCTGCTGGTCTCCGCTCCAAGCGCGCCAAATATTTGCTCAAGAGCTTCTGGACCTGAAGGGCATCAAGATTTCAAAGGGCGGAGTATGGAGTCCCCTCCGTGGCGGCACCGGTGCTAGCGCACGGCTAGAGCAAGAAAGAACGAGGAAGAGCAAGAGGGAGCTGGGAAGAAGGGCAGGTGCCGGGGAGACCCCGAGGTGGGGACAGGAGCCGCTGGGGTGGCAGGAACACTGGATACGAAGAGAGACAGGGGTCAGGGGTTGCTTCCTCCCAGCCCATCTCTGCAGCTCTAGCCCCTCAACCCCCAAGCGCTTGCCCTCCCCCACCAGAATGAGCTCGCTGGCTGGCAGGGAGGAAGGCAGAGGGAGGTGCTGAAGCGAGACGGAGAGCGGGGAGGTAGCCTGGAAGGGGGCGATCAAGAACCTCTCGCACCTGAGGGCGCAGGAGGAAGTCCATGGCAGGCAGGGGTGAACTTGGGAAGGAGGGGGAAGGGACCGGCCGGCGCCCCTTCTCAGTCACGTGCCCACTGGGCCTAAGTGACCAATAACGGGCTGATTGTGGCACTCGGGGTTAATCATTACACTTCCCAGGAAAATCCGGAGGGGGCCACGTGGGGTAGAAACCACGTGGGGGTGGGAGGGGCGAACCTGAGGAGCACGTGGGGTGAGGGGCGGGGCTGGGGGTGGTCTCTGGCTAGCGAGCTCCGCCCAGAGCCACTGAGCACAGACTGACGCTGTGTCTAAATCCGGGGGTGGAGGATGGAGGGTGGGCACCGCCAGGTGGGAGATCTAGAGTCCCCAAGTTCCTCTTTCACTTAGGCTACCACCAGGTCTTCAGTAAAACAGCCTCAACTCCGTCCCTGGAGCTAGAAGCCCGACGAACTGCTCACCGCCACTACCAATACCTGTCTCAGACCCCTGGAGCCAGGCAAGGCCAGGATAGGGATGGCAGCGCTCCTCGGGGATACCTCGCAGGTTCCCCTCGTTCCCAAGCCTCTGCAGGCGTGCGCGCACACATACACACAGACACACACGCACACACCCATGAGGGAATCCTCAGAGCACCTGTGGCGTGAAGAGGGACAGAGGGCGGCCGCCTCGCTGACAATACTCACAGTTCGGAAGGAATCTGCGCCCGAGGCCGGGCGTCGGGGGGCGCTGGTCATGGCCAAATCTTAGCCCTTTTCACTGTCGCTGCGGCTTTCAGGACAACAAGGCGGCGGCATAACCTGAGCAGGGGAGAGGGCCGATCACCGGTGAGAGCAGGGCCAGGCCAGTGGGGGCGCCCGGGGCATTTTGCAGCCCTTCACCTAGCCCAGGGGAAGACAGGATGCGGGGCGTTCCGCCGGCTGGCCACCAGGAGTCTCCCAGCAGCGCAGGACCCTCCGGCCCAGATGAAGGGCCTCAGGGTGGCCCGTAGAGGCGCCAAGACCAAAGAGAAGTTATTTATAGGAAGAAAGGAGATGAATAAAGAGAAAGACCAGTGAGGACTGGGGCCACACAGGGCCAAGGGACTACGGAGAGGCAGCAAGAGGAGGAGGAGGGGCTCAGACCTGGAGAGAAAGCTGCAAGGTGGATGTGTGTGTGCGCGCGCGCGCGCGGGTGGGGCGGGTAGATAGAGGAGGGGGAGAGGGGAAGGAGAGGCTGAGCCAGAAACAGGAGCAGTGACCGAGTGGTGGGCTGAGACCGGGGAGGGGTGTGCTGGGGGGAGTGAGATGCCCTCTGGAGCAGGGACGTGGGGAGGAAGGAAGGGAGAGAGAAGAACTCTGGAGAGAGTCCAACAGGGCCAGCAAAGGAGTCAGAGGAGACGGACCAGGACAGGGAGGGGAGCATGACGGCACTCCCTCCCCCGGCAGGGGCTGGGGGCGGTGCTTGGGGGCTGGGGGGGAGAATGCAGGCTCCCTGGGGGAGGGGCAGGAGCCCAGCTCCACTCACTCAGTGGACCGGAGGGAATGAGGACTCCGGGCACAGGCTGGGCACAGCTTTATAATGGGGGAGGGGCTCGTGGCGAACTTGGAGGCTGAGCACACAAACCCTGAGGTTCTGCCTTGAGGGGCAGCCTGACCCCTCCCCTCCCCTTGGACCAGGAAAATCTGAGTGGCTGAGCTGACGCCCGCCTGACTGTGACTATAGGGGTGTCTGGGGGGAAACACGGGGTGTCTGGTGGGTGAGTTGCAGTTACAGAACCTAAACAGTGCAAATCGGGGTGCCCATTAACAGTGGGGGAAGCACTGGGGGGCACCCAAAGCTCTCCGAAGGTAAAAGTACTGAAACTCCCCAGTGTGTGGTTGGGAGGGACACACGCTTGCCCGACTTAGGGCTACCTTGAGAGTAAGACAAGCCAGTGGAAGGGCAACCGATATAGTTCTGGGGGTAGGGGACAGTCCAAGATGGGGGAGCCTGGAGCGACACATTCCTGGCAAGCTCTCCAACTCGGCTGACGTCTCCCTTCACATCCCCCAGCAGGCCTTTCAGCCAGGGTATGTCCAGCGTGGGGGAGAGGAGGGCCCTGGGGGTGGGACCCTGGTATGGAAAGCCTGCGAAGTGCCCAGAGAGCCTGCAGGTGTGGGCTTTTGCCTCCGGGCTGTGCGGGGCTGAGCCCTGCGTGTGTTCCCCCATCTTCACTTTAACCCCCCCCCCCGCGCCCCCTCCCCCGCCATCCTAGAACACAAAGCAGCTTCTGTCCAGAGCATCGGTGCCGATAATCCGGGGTGGGAATACATTCCGGGGACCAGCCCCGACCGGCCCGGGGGATTAGCATCTTTCCCCCTGCCCAAGGGATTAGCCCCCCGGACCGCCACTTGGGCATTCACCAAGTGCAGTAGCACATTCCACAGCTCTTCGCGGTGGGGTAGGCTGCAGTGAAGCGCGGAAGGAGACAGCGCAAGTGGACCCTGGATTTCAGGCAGCACCGCCCGCCCCCGCCCCCCCCCCCCCCCCCGCACGGAACTCCCCTCCCAAAGAAGCCAGCCCCCCAGGAGTCAGGTCCAACTTTCAGGGCTCCTCTCTCCACACCCACCGAGCTGCTCCCTCTTCTGCCCGACCCCTTGTCCTTACCTGACTCGCCACCCAACCCCCTGCTCCGCTCTTCCTCCCAACCCGGAGGTGGGCGGAGAAGGCCCCGGGCAACCCCCAGGCTGGACGCCCAGCACAGGAAGAGGTGCCGTTTGGTGCCCGCTCAGGAGTTGGGAGGGCCCGCGGCGCCTCCGGAGACTACCCCCTCCTGGTGGCAGGGGGCGCGGCACCCTCGCTTTAGGGAATTCTAAGAAGCAGACCCTGGATTCCGCTCCGGACCAGTACTTCCCTTGCTTCCCCATCCTTTCCCCTAGATCTCGCTTTCCCGAGCCCCAGTCTCCGCCCTTCCCTCCACTTCCACTCCCTCCCGACACCAAGTCCCGCGTTCCCCCCTCCTTTCCCCTCCCTTCCTCCCTCCGCGGCCCTGGCCCTCCCCGCTCACCCGCTTGCTCTAGACTTCGTGTCCCGGGGGTCTTGGGGTTTCTCCCCCTTCTGCGGCGCCTTTGTGCGCTCCCGACGACTCCCCAGTGCCCACCTCGGGGCGCGCCCCCGCCGCTCCCAACTTCTCCCAACTCAACTTTCCCCCGCGCCGCGGGCAGGCCAGCCCCCTGCGTGCGCGCCCCCCGGGCGCACCGTGCGCGGCCCCGGAGGGTGGGGAGGCGGGGAGCCGCGGCCCAGACCCGCGAGCGGAAGCGCGTTTCCAGGCACCGCCAGGCACCAGCGCCCCGGTCCAGGAGGCAGCCCCTGGTCTCCGGAGTAGCCGCCGCCCTGGCTTCCCCGCATGGGACTCGGGCGCCCCGGGGACGCTGTCTCTTGGCCCATTTAGGCACCTCTGGGCGGAAATGAGCCCAACTTACCCTGGGGGGAATCCCAGGAATAAAAAACGGAGGCTCAGAGATGATCAGAAAATTCTGGACGGAGGAAGTTGAAATACAAATGTATCAGGAACAATATTCTCTCTTTTTAAAAGATTTTATGTCTTTATTTTTACAGAGGGGAAAGGGTAGAAGAGAGGGGAGAAACATCAATGTGTGGTTGCCTCTCATGTGCCCCCTCTGGGGACCTGGCCCACAACCCAGGCAGGTGCCCTGACTGGGAATGGAACTGGCGACCCTTTGGTTCGCAGGGGACAGGATTCTCTTTTGCCCCCAGTCCCCACCCTCTCCAATAACCCCGGTACCTCCAAAAAAGCCCGTCTTTGCCTAGGGGGACAGTGAGAGGTGATGCTGGCTGGAGGTTGGGTGCCCACTACCCTGAGCTGACCTCGACTTGCCAAATGTGGCGGGGGTCATGGGGTGAGGGGGTACTTCTGCCTCAGTAAGATTCCTGCGGTGACCTCCCTCTCTCCTTGAACCCGACTCATTGTCATCACCTGTCATTAAAAAATCTGTGCATTTCTGGTTTTCCCAACTAAAATATGAATTCTTCTGGATAAGGATAATACTTTTCCCTTCTTTTTTTTTTTTAAAGATTTTATTTATTTATCTTTAGAGGGGAAGGGAAGGAGAGAGGGAGAGAAACATCAATGTATGGTTGCCTTTCATGCGTCCCCTGCTGGGAACTGGCCTGCAGGGAACCTGCCTGCAACCCCAGTATGGGCCCTGACTGGGAATGGAACCATGATTGTCTGGTTCACAGGCCCGCGCTCAATCCACTGAGCTACATCAGCCAGGGCCTTTTCCCTTCTTTTCTATCGTCTGCCATTGGGTGAAGGACAGAATTGTGAACGCAGAAAACGTTCAGGTATCAAGGAGTTGATTAACAAATAGTTAGCATCAACTCTGCTTCCTGCGCCATGTGCTGTTTGGGACCGTTTTTCGTCCACTTCACAGCCCTCAGAAATGCAATCATAAGACAATTAGAGAGCAGTGCAAGCAAATCTATAATCAACTCCTTAAGGGATGAGGTCAAGGCTGCTGCAAGTGTAGCCATCTGTCTGTGCTTCTGTCTGCTAAGGGCGGTAACCAACCTGCCAGCCCTCGGCCACACCCTGGCTCTAGTAGGCTTGGATTCTGGAGACTGGCCTGGGATTGTGGGGCCAGGGGCGGGGGGGGGGGGGGGGTGCGACTCACAGCGCTGTGGCCACTTTTCCTCAGGATGTCAGAGTGAAGCCAGCCACTGGAGCGTCCAAGCCGACAAACGGGGCCCAGAGAAAAGAATGGTCTCTGGCATGTGTTAAATACAGTTTCAAACAGAGCACCTGCCTCCCTGCCCAGCCTTGTGTTCAGCTGGTCCCCGTAAAAGTCATTATCAGGAAGACATGGCCCGGAGTCATTCCCTAATCAACCCTGGGGTCAGCCTGGGGAGGGCTAGAGAGCCGTTCTGAGAGTGTCAGGGGGTCGTTGGGGCCTCAACACCATCAACCTGGTCAGAGCCGCCACCTGGGCCCAGGATGTAGGCCACCTAATCCCAAACCTGAGAGAGCGCCCAACCCCCACCCCTGCCGCAATCTGGAATGTGTAGTCCTGGAGGGGCCTTTTTCATAAGAAGGTGGTGGTCAAAGAAAGTAATCAGAGCGGAGCACACTGGGAGCCCTGGCGCCAAGCCCCGGCGCCCAGAAAGCGGACACGTGATGCTTCCTGGGACTTGAAGTCCAGGGTTTGCCTCCGTGGTGGAACCGGAGTCCCGGGAAGCGACTGCTGCAGAGAGCCTGAGCGCAGCCTGCTGGGCGTTGTAGTCCTCTTGTTGTCTAGGGTCCCAGGCATTATCGGGAAACCTGGGAGTCTCAGGACTACAAGCTCCAGAAGCTCATGCGCAGGCAGGAGGGCGGGGCAGGGCCGGAGCTGGGGTGCCGCCTCCTCTGCATCTCCGGGGCCAGAGTATTAGAACGGAGGGCCCGCAGGGGTCCCCGCGGCTGCTGCGATGCAGAAATACGAGAAACTGGAGAAGATTGGGGAAGGTAATGGGACCACGAGATGTTCTTGCAAGATCTTCTTTTGCATTCCTTGTATCTCTGGCTCCTCTACCATCAGCAATGCCCACAGACTCCGACCTCAGCACTTGCTACGGCCCCCGCCCCGAGCTCAGCACCCGGTGCTGACACCAATCCTGCCATTAGCATTTCCTGCAGAGTCCCCTCCCAGACTTAGCACTCCCTGTAGGCCCGATCTCTGAACCGCAGCACTTCCTGCATGCCCTGCCCCCAGCCTCATCACCGCTTGCAGAACCCCAGCCACCCCCAGCCTCGGTTCTGGCAGCAGACGTCCAACCTCAACATTCCTGCCAGTCCTCATCCCTTTCCGAGACCCCTGCTCACTATTCCCGGCCCCGCAAAGCACCGCCCTCGTTTTAGATCCTACCTGGCAGCCACAGTCTCTCCCTGCTGGCGACCCCCTTACGCCTCTGCAGGCCCCTTTCTCTGCCACATCCCCATCCACAAAGCTCTGCCACACCCGGCCTTTACCCTGATCCTCTTCCCTTACTTCTCCAGGAATCAGAAATAATGCACTCCCATGATGCCTCCCCTCGGGGAAGGGCTTCTTGGGAGGGGGGGGGGAAGGGTTCCCCATCCTTTCTGTCACCTGTAACCTCCTCTTCCCAGGTACCTATGGGACAGTGTTCAAGGCCAAAAACCGGGAGACTCATGAGATAGTGGCTCTGAAACGAGTGAGGCTGGATGACGATGATGAGGTAGGACTGGGGCATCTGGGGGTGGGGGGGTGAGTGAGGGCCCAGCCTGGGTGGGATGTGACTGTTGCCCACCCGGCCCCCTCCCACGTGCAGGGAGTGCCGAGTTCTGCCCTGCGGGAAATCTGCCTACTCAAAGAGCTGAAGCACAAGAACATCGTCAGGTGTGTAGACGATGGGCAGGGTCCTCCTTGCTTAGGTGGCCAGTTGGAGGAGGCGGGGGCCCCGAGGTGGGCTGGGCTGACAGTGGATATTAGGAGCACACCTGTGGGTCTGCCTGGCTAAGCCCTCCCTTTCCCCTAGGCTTCATGACGTCCTGCATAGCGACAAGAAGCTGACTTTGGTTTTTGAGTTCTGTGACCAGGTACAAGGAGGACCCTGGGGACAGTTGCCTTAGGTGGGCATGGGAGGGGCCCAGACTGAGGTTAAACTCTGCCTCATTCCCCCACCCCCATCACTTTTTTAGGACCTTAAGAAATACTTTGACAGCTGCAATGGTGACCTAGACCCTGAAATTGTGAAGGTGAGGAGACTGGAGCTTGGGGGCCCCACTGAGGCCGGGGTTGCAGCCTGTGCCCAGCGCGTCTGCTCTCTGGGTACCAAGGGCAGGCCTGAACAGGGACGCACTGGGTGTCGGGACTGAGAGAGTCCCGCTTCTGCTCTCCAGAAGCATTTGCCCGTGATCTCTCTGACCTGACGGCAATGTTCTGGTCCCAGCGATAATGACTTACGCTTGAGAGATGAGAAAAGGAGATTTGGAGAGATAGGTTACTCACTCAACAAATATTTACTGAATGCTTTGCTGGGCACCACGCGCTGTTCTGGGCCCGAGACCAAGCGCCTTGTCCCAGGTTCCAGGGGAAAAAAATGCTAAATGATAATACAGCATGATATAGGTGCATGTGGACGGTTTGATGTGTGTTCAAATGAAGCCAGGTAGAGGGGAGGTCAGTGTGGGCTGGGAAGGTAGGAAGGCCCAGTAGGTCATACGTTCCAGAAAGGTAGGGACCAGGACCCCCATTCACTGGTCACTTCTAATACAAGTTCCAGAAAGGTGGGGGACCAGGACTCCCATTCACTGGTCACTTCTCATACCTAGCATAATATAGACTAAGTTCTTGATAATTCACAAAGGATGTATCTCGGAGCTAGGTGCTGAAAGACAGGTGGGTGCGAGGCAAAGCAGAAGGTGAAGAGGGGAGTGTGAGCCACGGCTGGGCACAGCTGACGATCCCTCGGTCTGACGCCCCCCCCCCAGTCATTCCTCTTCCAGCTGCTGAAAGGCCTGGGATTCTGTCATAGCCGCAACGTGTTGCACAGGGACCTGAAGCCTCAGAACCTGCTCATAAACAGGGTACTTCTCAGGGAGAAGGAGGGAGACGGGGGAGGCTGGGCCATCAGCCGAACGATGCGGGTGCTGGGTGGGAACGTGGGTGCGTGGAGCCAGCCCTCACACTGTCTCTTCCATCCCCTGCAGAACGGGGAGCTGAAACTGGCTGATTTTGGGCTGGCTCGAGCCTTCGGGATCCCTGTCCGCTGTTACTCGGCTGAGGTAAGTTGGGGGTGGGGGGGTATTGGAGTGAGGGGGACACCCCCAGTGAGCATCTCTCAGCTCCTACTGCAGGACCCAGAACATTCTATTCTCCTCTCTGAGCCTCCTCCTCCCAGCCCTCTAAGTGGGGGGTCCCTGCGGGTGGGGTCTCTTCCAGGTGGTCACACTGTGGTACCGCCCACCAGACGTCCTCTTTGGGGCCAAGCTGTACTCCACGTCCATTGACATGTGGTCAGCCGGCTGCATCTTTGCAGGTGACGTGCTGGGGGTCGGCAGAGGACCTTCCCTCCCATTTGAGCTGACAGATAGGGTCGGGAGGGTCCCCTCCAGGGCAAGGAGCCGGGCCCTGAGGGATGGGGTGTTGCTGGAATGAGGGGTTCTTCACGCATCAGCTCCTCTCCCCCTCCTCTTTCTCCCA